GGAACCCACTGTGACCACCAGCCCTAGGAGGGGTAGGAACCACAGCAACTATGTGCCAGCCCTTTTGGACTTGGGGGAGGGTCCAGTAGGAGAAGGTCCCTACTCCAGTAATAGGGAGCCATAGCACCCTAAAACTTGATGCTGAGAAAAGTCAAATCTAAGCCTCCTAAAGGAACTCTCAGAGGGGTACAGGGAGCTGGGAGCAGATGCCAGAACTGAGGAGCCTGGCCCCAGGCCCCTGAAGGGCAGAGATCCCACAAAGGAGCAGTCTTTGTGGCCACGCTGAGAAAGACCAGGAGAACGGCTCTCAGGGGCTCCCAGTGGACCCCTATCAGTGAGGCTGACAGGGACAATAGAGACCTGGCAAGTCCAGAAGGAAGAGAAACAGAAGGGGCAAAAAGGGAAGGGCAGAGGAAAAAGAAAAAAGAAAGAAAGTGAAAGAAAATTCTGATGTTTAAAAGAGGAGGAGCACCACAGAAAACCCAGCCCAGAAACAGGGAGAAAAACTGGGGTCCCTGCCCTCCCAGACCTTCAAGTGAAAACTCCCTCCCCCACAAACAACCCAGCCGCCGACCCTTGGCTCACCCTCAGACGCCCGCAGGTCCCAGGCCTGAGAGGCCACAGCTCCGGCCAGGTGGGCAGCGTGTGGTCAGGTATCCTGGGTGCCTGCCCTGTCGGCCTGTGTCCCACTGGGGCTGGCCCCCCAGACAGCCTGGGCCCTACTCTGTGGTGTCTGAGACCCTGTGTGAGTGCAGGGACCTCTCTGTGGGCCTGGGGTCTGTGTTGTTCCTGAGTATCTGTGATCACTTGTCTGTGTCTACGTGCAACTGTGGATTTGTCTGAGTGTGTGTGCTTGTGTGTGTGTGTCAGTATGTGCGTGTGCAGCTGCGTGTGTAAGTGTCTGCATCCAGCTCTGGTCTCCCCAGGCTTCCTGCTCTCTACCTCCCCCACCCCCTGCAACACACACTTCCTGAAAACAGTGAGTGAGTGAGAGAGTGAGAGAGAGAGAGAGAGAGAGAGAGAGAATTCGAGAGAGAACTCGAGAGAGAAGTCACCCAGAATCCCCCGGGGCAGGCACTTCCTCCCCGCCCCCAAGCTGCTCCCCCCTACTTCCCTCATACACACCAAACAGGAATGGAATAATTACCACTCAGGACCTTCTGCAAGAGCCTTACAAGTGGACATTCAGAAGTCCCTGGTTCTGGAAAGCCTTCCTTACCCGCACAAAGAAACCCAAGAAAGGCTGGGAAAGAGGCTCCTTGAAATGAGCAAGTTCTGCCCCCAGCAACAAGTGATCAGCCCTCAGGAAGAGCAGGGATTGGCTGAGCTGCAGGTCAGTCAAGGGTATAGGAGGGACATTACAGGGTGACTCCAGCTGACCACTCCCCCCTCTCGGCAAAGAACCCCTCTTCCTAAAGTATCTCCAGGTATTAGAGGAAACTGGGGCCTAGAGTGGTCTTGGAGGGGCTCTGTAGAGTGACCCTGAACCCTGGTTCAGAATGGCCCCCACCTCTCTCACAAAAACTGGCTCAGAGGGTTCACATCCATCATACTTGGAGGATAGCGGACTGAGCCTAGGGCCGAGAAGCAGGGTCTGCACATCGTCCTTCCCCGGGCAGGCTGTTTCTCAGCACCTCTGGACTCCTCAGCAAGTTCCCCACTACAATTACAGGCTTAAATAGTGGTGGGGTACAGAGTCTCTGGGGGTAAAGTGGGGTAGTCCCAGGCAGGAATGATGAGCCTGGATCTGAGAGTCCTGACCTGGCTTGGGGAGGGAGAGGAAACCTTATCCTTACTCATTTTCTGCTTGACTCCTCTGAAATCTCTTTTGTTCCAAGGTGCCTGGGGTAACACAGGTAGATAACAGGAAGGGCTCTGAGGGGCTGAGCTCCATGCCCAGCTCCACATCCACCATGCCCAGTGTGGGGCAGTACATGAGTGTGTGCAGGCTTCCCACTCATGCAGCAAACACACCGAGGGCCTATCAGGCACCGTTCCAGATGTTGAGGATTCAGCTATCAACAAGATCAATGACTATACCAGCCCTAATGGAGCAGACGTTCCAGCGGACTCAGGTGCACACACTGGCTCACACATAAAGGCACAATGAGTGCTACACCTGCCAATTCACCCCCACAGCACACACGCTCACAGATGGTCACACCCTGCTGGAGTCCCTACCACAGAGACCAGGTGCACATATGTGCACACCCAGCACCCTCCCTCCCCAGTAATCTCACATGTACCACAGCAAGTCATGACTGAGACTGCACTGATCTCCACATGTATGTACATTTTAGCACCGCACATGGCCCCCCCTAGAACCTGAATAGATGTGAAAATGCAGACACATTACGACCATGACAGCTTGCACAAACACAATATAGTTAAACACATACAAAGTGGCCCATCATGCCCTCATGTAGAGTCACTATCTCCACAGTACATATGCTCACACAAAGCAGATACTCCCAGGGCCTCCCTGGTGGTGCAGGGGTTGTCTCAGCACTCTGAAACTATCCACAGCCACTGCAGCACAAGTTCGATCCTTGGTTAGGGAGCTAACCATCATGGCACAGCAGACCTCTCCCATCTCACCCACTGCTCCCTCAGCAGTGTGTTTCAGTAGATCCGGCTGTTCTGCTCCCTGCTCTGTCTCTGGTGAATCCTTTCAACTCCCACACCTCTGGCCTGTGCCCCAACTCTTGTATGCATAAATAAATAAATCTCATGGTGGGCTGGGGTGAGGCAGAAATGCTCTCTTAGTCACAAGATCCGATGTCAGAGGCCTTAAGACTGAGAGTGAGATCCTGGTCACCAGAGGGTGCACATGAGAACAGGGAGGCCATATCAGAGTGATGACTCCTGCTGGGGGGGGGGGGGTAGAAGCAGGCCAGGCTGAGCAGTCTTCTACTGCTCACCAAGGAGCCTTGGGTCACAGGAAGTGACTGGGAGGAGGTAGGGTAGCAGTCAGCTCAATCCTGGCCCCCCAGCATGCCTAGCCTTCACCTCTTACACATCCATGAGGCTCCATATGCTCCAAGTATTTCTGCTACTGTGTACACCCTGGGTGCCCAGTCACCAGGACTGCAGGTACCTGCAATTCCAGCATCAAAGACCCCTGGATATAGGCAGCCAAGCTTGGCAACTCATCTCCTGCCACAGCCCACCCTAAGGAATAGGCTCAGTGTTCAGTAAGTGTCCACAGATCCTCTCAGCATGGAATGACTCGGGGGTCTCTAGTCACATGGGGCCAGAGTTCTGACCATAGGAGCCTATGCTCCCCCAAGGCTGGCTAAGAGGCTAAAACTCCCAAGGCTGAGAATGGGAGCTGGTATCGGGAAGGGGGCTGCATTCACTGCCTCAGCAAGGCTGGTGAATCAGATGTCAGTACTTGGAGGGTTATGGGAGACCAATAAAGGCACCTGACAGGAAAACAGATCCCAGGCAGCAGGTCTTAACTGGAGTCACACAGCTAGCTGGACCGACCCCTGTGTCCAGGCCTTCACTCCCCCAACTGGTGTTTTATCCCCTCTGCTTCCCAACAGGGTCTGTCATTGTTCACTCACTCTCACCCCCTAATGACAGGGACACACACACACACTCCTCCACTTTGTACCACTAGAGGGAGAAATCGTACCAGAAAATTCCTGTCAGGGCTGTACACCAGGGCCCCCCTGGGGGGACCTAATGCTATCCCCAGTATATGAGTTAGAAAAGGCACAAACCACCTCCTCTTTTTTTTTTTTTTTTTTTTGCTTCCACTAATCAAACCTCAAAACACCTGGTTCACTTTCAAGACCCCATTACTTAATCCCCTCTTTTGGAGAGGGAAACCTCCCAGACCTGCCCTACAGTTCCGGGCATGGATCCAGCCCAGTGCTCCTCTTCTTTCTCTGAGCCTCAATTTCTCTGCTTGAAAATGGCACCCAAATCCCCAGAAGTCTTGCTGCAGGGATCAAAGGAGTTCAGTTGAGCAAAACAGTCAGCACAGCACCCAACAACAGGAACCAGGGACCTATCTCTGCTTATCCCTTCCACCTCTAAAAAGCCATCCCAGGTTAGGCTGACTAGGTGCAAATACTGCAATAAATCCCCATCACACCCCTGAACACATACCCAGTCCTAGCTGGGCATGCTCACTCCCAGCTGGGCATGCCAGCAAATGGCAGACAGGAGAGCATATGTAGAAAGTTGAAATCAACATCCACAGGAGTAGGAGAAAACCAGGGCAGTCAGAATCCAAGAGGGCAGAAGACAGTTCTGAGGAAGGAAGACAAGTAGGATGAGACTACTTGTCTTGGTGACATTTGTCAGGAGCAGTATGAAGGGGAAGGCGGGCGCACAGACACCCGGCCCTGGCAGTGCCCGCCCCACCACAGCCAGCCCGTTACTCCATTTCCTGCACGTGCTACCTTCTGTCTCCAGAGTGTACTCTAGTGCCCCCGTATCTCACACTCCCCAGACCCCGCTTTGAGCTCCAGACTTCCAAATTCACCTCTGTCCGAGTCCCCAGATCAATGTCCACACAAGATGGAAACCCAGACACCACTGGGGCTCCATGTGCCCACCTGGTCCACTCACACCCAGGCCATCCCAAGCCCTGCCCATTCAAGGGCCAGGCTCACTGCAATCTGCCTGTCTCTCCGGCTTTGCCAGCACAGCCTGAGTGGGGGTCTCACCTGGCCTGGTGGCCAGAGAGGTCCTACATTAACCCTCATCAGCAGCCAGTCATCCTTTCAGCACTCTGATTTCACCCCATCACTCTTAAAACCTTGCTGGCTTCTCACCCGGCCTTTACAGCATGCCCCACAGCACCACGGGCGAGTCTCATCACACGATCTGCTCAGAGGGCCCTGGACAGCGCTTCTCGCAGCTATGCACATGCTGGCCCCCCCATCTCAGGCGCCTTTTTGACCCAGTGCCAAAAGTCACACACTGCCCTGCCCTCTGGGAACAGAGTGCCTGTGCCCCCGACACCCGGTATGACGTCCACTCACCTCACCAGCAGGCGGGGGAGTCCAACACGAGGGGGCACGGGTGGCACACTTGGTTCTGTCACGTGCCGCTTGGCGGGCAGCGGGGGCAGCCTGGGGTCTGGGGCTGCTGTGGGTGGGGTAGAGAAGCAGGCAGGGGGACCGCAGCTCCTCCTGGGCGGGATGGGGGGTGCTGCAGGTAGCCTCTGGTCCTCTCCAGTCACGGGCGGTGGCCCAGGTGGAGTGGCAGGTGCAGGCTGTGAGCGGAAGACGTGGCGCTTCATGGGCACGGGCCGTGGGGTGGGTCGAGGAGCGGGGGTTGGGGGTGCATGGGCGCGGAGTAGGCCAGCTAGGATGCGGCGGCGGTGACCAGGGAGCTGTATGCCCATCTCTACCAAGTGGGCATCACTGAGGCCTTGACACTCAGTGGCCCGCACCAGTCCGTGCTGCTCGAAGAGCTCGGTGTACTGCTCCAGGTGTAGAGCCCGTAGCCACTCGGCCACGGACAGCGCTGTGTCCCTGGCCTCTGCCATGTTTCCTGCCAGCAGAGGCCAGCCAGTCCAGACCTGGAATAGACAGCAAGGCATGGGTCAGAGGCAGGGTTACCCATGTGTGGTTCCCCAGTCAACATCCTTCTGTGGCTTTCCCATGCTATGGGGTCAAGTCTTGTCCTTCAGTTTTCTCTCTTGAGCATGTAGGCCAGGCACGGCCAGGCACAGCCAAGTTTCTGAATACCCAAACAGTCAGGCTTTTTTCCCTCAGCTTGAAACATGCTCTCCCCAGCCCCGCTTCCACCCCTTTTGCCTTCTAGCATCCAGGACCCTCGCCCCGAGCCACAGCCTTCATCACTGATGTGAGGCTGGTCAATGGCAGGATTGGGACTTTCTGACATCCACATCCTCTACTGGCCTCTGCAAGACTCGCCTCTGCAGGTGAGGGCCAATTCCCTATGCAGTCCTAGTTTCCAGCTGAGGGTCAGACCCTGGGGTTTATGGAGGCAGCAGAATGCTCCGGGGGGTGACACAGCCCAGCATCACACAGCCTCTAGGGTTCTAGTCCTGCCTTCCCCACCAAGATGGGGAAAGGAGGTATGTATAGAGAAGACCATTCATTCATAACAGCCTTACACGGGGCAATGGGGATGCAGGACCCAAAGGCTCCTGGCCTGGTAAGAGTGAAGAAATATAAATGGCACAGAGAGGTTATTAACAGATCAAAAGAGAAACGTCATCTGAATCTCTCCACAGACTCTAGAGAGACATGTGCTAAAACTCAATATCCAGAATATGTAACAACCTCAATAAAATACAAATAGGTTGTTACTTCTTTAAGCCAAAACCCAGCACCTTGCTTACTGGGAAAATAACAGAAAACATTCCGTTAAAAGTCAGGAATGAGATAACGATATGTATATATTTGTTATTATCATTCCGCACATACTCTAAGAGTTTTAGACAAAAGAAATAAGTAGGAGGCATAAAAATGGGGAAGGAAGAGATAAACCATCTGCTGATTACCAGTAACATGAGTTTTGAACTGAAAAACCCAAGAAACTATTACAAAAAACAAAACAATTCAGTAAGACAGTGGATTTAAAGTTAATATCAGGGGAATCAGTGTTTTATGGAATAATAAGGTACAAGCAAGAAAGAGGAAGACCCTATGCAAAATAACATCATAAAATATGAAACACCATGAGCTATCTTTTTTTTAAAAAAAGATTTATTCACTTAGGCATACAAGAACTGGGGTACAGGATAGATGTGCAAGGGATGAGAGGATTCACCAAAGAAAAGAGTGGAGCAGAACAGGCAGATTGACTGAAATACACTGCTGAGGGGAGCAGTGAGTGGGTGGGACAGGAGAGGTCTGCTGGGCCGTGTGGGTCAGCTCCCTGGCCAGGGACTGAATTCGTGCTCCAGTGGCTGTGGATAGCAACATAGTGCTGTGTTTTAACCTCTTGCACCACCAGTGAGGGTCCAACACAGAATTTCTTTTGAGGTAGACAAGTTAATTTGAAAGTTCATGCAGAAAAATAAACAACGAAGAAAGGCTAGAAAAATTTTGGAGGTAGAAGGTAAAGGCAAGGGATTCAAGAGTAAGAATCAGTTTCACAGCATGTCAAAACATATAAAGCCATGCTAATCAAAAAGGCACTTGAATAGGCACTTAGCAGCAAAACTTTCTGTTTTGTTTGATCAAACAAAAAGAAAAAAGAAAAAAGTCAAAGTATAGATAAGAATTTAGTATACAATAAAAGTAACATCTCATACTGGTGGGGGGAAATGGATTAAGTCATTGAACAACAGTGGAACAATCTAGAAACAAACCAGTTGGATTCCTGCCTCAAACCTTAAAACAGGTTAAATTACAGGAGGCACAAAGATGCCATTATAAAAATAAAATAATGAAAGGATTTTTAAAAATCACCCCAGAGAGGCGAAAGTCTTTAAAAATGATTCTCAGGAAGGTAAAAAGTAAAACATTTAACTACATGAAAATAAAAGCGCCGCCTTGCATGATAAAAACCACCAAAAGCCAAGCCAAGAGGAAAATGACCAACTCAGGGATATCTGCTTCTCACATCTCAAACACAGAGCTCATTTTCCTAAAAACTAAAAGGTACCTAGAAATAAGCAGATCGATTACAAAGCAAGAGAATGGGCAAAGGAAATGAACAGAGAAATTCAGAGAAAGGAAAACATCAAAGATTCTTAACCTATGAAATAGGAAAAAGAACTTAACCTCCCCACACAAGAGAAATACAAATGTAAAATATACTGAAATACCACTTGCCACCAAACAGGCTGGCAGAGAGCAGTGTCTGGTGATCCGTTACAGGATGAGGCTCCCGGCCTCGGTGAGGGCAAAGTTCCCGAGCTGTGAAAGCCCCAGGGGCTGCCCTGTGATGGGGCTACCTGTGATCTCTTATCCTGCCTACTGGTGGCTCCCATCCAAAATGAACTCCAGGAAGTTATTGGTGTAATACAAAAGACTGGAAATAACCAAGATACCCATAAACATGGGCCTGGTTAACGAAGTCATGTGTCATCATATGGTAGAAGGGTGAGCAGACGCAAAAACAGAGGCAGCTCCTTACATTTCCATACTTTGATATGGATGACATCCAGGGTATGCTGCTAAGTGACTGAAGAAAGATACAGAACAGCATACATGACATTCTTTTATGTGCAGGGAAAGAAGAAAAAAAAAACAAGAAGAGAAGTGATCAGAATGTATCTACTGGCAAATGTACAAAGTGTCTCTGTAAAGATACATAGGTCATATGGAGACATGTTTCTCCTCTGCGGGAGAAAACTTAAGGTTGAGGGGACAGGTTGGAGCAGGTATAAAGCCAGACTTCCTGGTGCCTGCAAATCTGGATGCCCCTTTAAGAAAAAAAAAAAAGGCAGGAATGTCTTATTTTCCAAAAGCAGTGCTGGGGCCTGGCAGGAACCTGCAGCTCAAGTTCAATCAGCTTCCTGGAAATCCACCTCCCAGGGGAAGGAGATTTTTTTCATTCTACATCTTTTGGAATCACCTAAATTTTGAACTATATGAATTTTTTAAAGGGTACCAAGAGACCCAAAGAAAGACACCGCCAGAAATACATTCAATGCTCTTGGATCAGCCTCTGTCAATGTTACAGAGTATCAGGGTGAGCTATAACTAACACAATATCAGCTAAAATTACCTACCGGCAAATTCTAGAGTTCATATGAAATGATATTGGTAATTTACTATCAGATGGAAAAGGTGCACAACAGAGTTTTATTGTGTAAATGTCTGGGTTAAAGAAAGAAAATGTAGGCCCTTTCTGATGGTGCAAGAGGTTAAGTCTCAGCCCCAGGAAGCCACTGCAACATAAGTTCCATCCCTGGCCAGGGAGCTGACCCACATGGCACAGCAGACCTCTCCAGTCTCACTCACTGCTCCCCTCAGCAGTGTATTTCAGGCACTCTGCCTGTTCTGCACTCCACTCTGTCTCTGGTGAGTCCTCTCACCCCCCTGTGCCACTGTCCGAGACCAGTTTTTGTATGCATAAATAAATAAAATAAATATTAAAAAGAAAAGGAAAGAAAATGTAGACACACACACAGAGACAGACACAAAACACCTCTGGTCAGGCATACAAGTGACAGCCTTTGGAGAGAGAAGATGGCCCAGCAAGAGGGAGGGTTTACCACCTTTCACGAGGCCCATCTGTATTGTTTAATTTTGTGCCCTTTTTGAAAAGATAAATGTTGATAAATATATAGCAAGAGATAGATTTAAAGTTTTATTTATTTTTGCATACAGAACTGGAGTACAGGCCAGAGGTGCAGGGGTGGTGAGAGGATCCACCAGAGACAGTGCGGAGCAGAACAGGCCGACTGACAAGGTACACTGCTGAGGGGAGCAACGGGTGGGTCAGGGGAGGTCTGTCACGTCATGTGGGTCACCTCTGGGGCAGGGATCGAACTCATGCTGAGGTGGCTTCAGCCCCCTAGCGCTGTGCTTTAACCCACTGTGCCACAAGGGAGGGCCCCATGTTGATACATTTTTAAAGACAATGTGATCATCTGGGAATGAGGGCAAGTCCAAAACTCAGTACGCCAACAAACAAGGAGATGTGCACTCAGCCTGCTGGCCCCTCCACTTCAACACCTCCCGGGACAGTCAAGGTCTCTGGATCTCACCTTCTCTCTGCTTCTCAACCTCCATTTTCAAAATGGAAAATGAGATCTCAGGCCTCCACCTGCATGAAGCCTCCCACCTCAGAGTTGGGGCTTAGCCTGTCACACCCAGCCAGGAAACCCCACCTCCTGACTTACCAGCTGGGTAGCCCAGGACGCTGGGGCCCTCCCACAGGCAGCGGCTACCCCAGAAGGCTCCTCATCTTGGCGTGAGGCAGAAGCTGCAAGGACAGTGGGGGAGAAATTCCATGAGGCAAGGTCACTTTGACAGCTGATACCAGGAAAAGTAGGAGGAAGATGGAGGGCAAGGAGAAGTGAGGAAAAGAGAACAGGAAGAAAGCTTGAGAAGGAAGAAGAGGCTAGAGGAAGAGAAGGAAGAAGAAAAGAGGTACAGGAACCCAACAGAGGCCGGTGATGGGAGGTCAGACCCAGGCTTCCAGCGGGGTGCTACCCTGAGTGCTTCCAGCAGGCCTGCAGGGGGATGAGGGGGCACATAGGTGATAACAGGGAGTCAGGACTCCCTATTCTCCCCCAGGACCCTCCCCCAGGACCAAGGGTGGATATGTGTAGGGACTGTTGGCACCGGGCTGGACAGACTGCCACAGGGAGGATGAGGGAAGAGGTGTAGCTCTGACTGACGCAGTACCCCTCCCCCATGCATGCTGATCTGAGATCCCCAGGGAGACCCAGGAGGAAGGACCCTCTTCACAGAGGTTCACTGAGTGGGGCTGAGGGCAGAGGATGGGCAAAGAGGCAGGGGCATGAGACCCCAGGGGCCCGTCTCCAAACGCGTGCAGGTAGTTAAAGGAAGAAGGGCCAGAAAGAAGGTGTCTGGGGCAGAAGGAGAAAGAACCTGACACCCCTGAGACAGTCCACCACCAAGCAAGATGGCTGAGGTTTTGAGGGGACCATATGGAGAGCCATGTTTCCTGCCGTTAGGTAGGGTAGGGTTAATTTAAACTGCTGGGTTCTATGAGGTGGTTTTTGGGGGGTACTTGTGAACATTTTTAATTTACTAGTGAAGTATTTGTCTGAAGTAGACTACACAATTATTTGTTGGGGTAGGGCTAAAATAGATATCTTAGAAGTGAATATTTTAAAAGTAAATTTTAATTAGTACTTCAGAAAGAGTAGACCCAAAATGGCAGTGCTACGCAAACAATTTTATAAAGACTCCTAGACAACAGAGTCCTCGCTGCACAGCTGGTAGCTCAGCACTTTATTTTTTAAGCACAGGTACTGACTTGACATTGATATGCACAACTGTAATTTGGGAGGGGGGAGTACAGAGAAATCGGGCAGAAGCACTCAGAGAGGTGGACAGAGAGATTTAATTGTTCCAGTGGGACAGTTCCCAATTCAGAGCCCTGAATTGCAGGCATGGTAAAATTTTATACAGTTTGTATGCAGAAGCTTGTCACCCCATCTATCATAGACTTTCGTTATTGTTTGGGAAGGGGTCAAGCTAGCCATAGCTACTATTGTGGGCAAGCAGCACACCAAAGGAGCTTTCTGCTCCAGCAAGCTGCAGAATCCAAGCAGCAGCCTTAGCAACTTCCTGCTTCACAGCTTCACACCTCAACATGTAGACAAGCTCACTGTCCCTCCACCAATGCGCCAGTGCCAACAGACAAGAACTCCCCTTTCCTCCCCCCTCAGCCCCTCTGGTAACCACCATAGTTTTCAGAATCTAAGAGTTATTTTTGTTCTGTTTTGTTTGTTTCCTTTGGTTATTTATATGCCACCAATGAGGGAAACCATCAGAGAACTATCATCTACTTTCTGAGTTACTTCATTTCGCATAATCACCTCAACATCCATCCTTTTTGTCCCCAAAGGCACAATTTTATCTCTTTTAATAGCTGAGTAGTATTCTACTGCACAGCCTCTGTGGGAAGCTGTATGGAGACTTCTCAAGGAACTTTTTAAAAATGGAAATCCCATGTGCTCCGGCAAACTACTCCTCCGTTTCTATCCAAGGACATGAAGACCAGTACAAAAATATCTATGCACCTTTATGTCCACAGCAGCACTCTTCACAGTAGCCAAATTATGGAATCAGCCTAGTGCCCTTCAACAGGAGATGGATAAAGAAATCATGGAATATGCCCTCAACAAAATGCCTTAGCGCTTGGTATTAGCTCATTTCCTCTTCCCAGCAGCCCTGTGAGGTACTTTTAGATGAAGAACCTGAAGCGCACAGCTAGGAGGGGACAGTCTGAATATCATCTAGACCTGCTTAGTCCAAAGTCATAACCAGGGCCCTCCCTGGTGGCGCAATGGGTTAAAGCGCAGCACTATGAAGCCAGTCACAGCCACTTCAGCACGAGTTCAATCCCCGGCCAGGGAGCTGACCCACATGGTACAGCAGACCTCTCTTGTCTTGCCCGCTGCTCCCCTCAGCAGTGTATTTCAGCCACTCTGCCTGTTCTGCTCCCCACTCTGTCTCTGGAGAATCCTCTCACAGCCCCTTCAACTCTGGCCTGTACCCCAGTTCTGTATGCATAAATTTTAAAAAATCTTAAAAAAAATCATAACCAAAAGTAGCCACATAGATCTGGATCTCTATGTGTATCTCAAAATGTGTCACGTAATGAAGCGTGCTATATAAAATACACACTAGATTTTGGAGTCAGTACAGTTTTACTTCTTACATAATGAAATATTTGGGGTAGTCATATAAAATATATCATTAAAATTAATTTTAACTGGTTTGTTTTTAGTGTGATTCTAGAAATTTTTAAATTGCAGTCATGGCTCTCATGTTCTCATTGGCCAGGGCAGCTCTAGACTTTAACCACCCACTCACCACCTCTGGAAAGTGATGGACATGAGCAGTTACTATAGGCCACACAGTTCAAAGAGTTCAACACAATTGATTAATGAAACCCCAACACCATGGGGAGACCAGGTCTGGGAACAGGAAACCACGTTTGTCTCCACGGAGGGCCCAGTCCCCAGTGGGCCTCTTTCAGGTTCCCATTCTTGCATTTAAGGCTCAGGCTAAGGCCAGAACTCCCAGTGATATCCCTTTAAGGTGGCCCCATGCAAGGCACTGGAAGCAAGACATGACCAGAACCTCAGGCTGGAAGTAGAGATATTGCCCAGCCTCAAAAACAGGCCAAAAGTAGATGATTGGATTAAAAAGATGTGGTACATATATACAATGGAATATTACTCAGCAACCAAACAAGAGAAACATATGTCTTTTGCAGCAACTTGGATGGAGCTGGAAAAGATCATGCTTAGTGAGATAAGCCAGAAAGAGAAAGAAAAATACCGGATGGTTTCACTCATAGCAGGAGTATAATGGACCAGGCGAGAAAATAACAAAAATAATGAACAACCATACACCAGAGACATTCGCGGGGGTGGAGTGGGGAATGGGATCAAAAACGGGGGGGGGGAGGGGGGGAAGGAAGTGCACGGGATTATGGTGATGGTGCACGCACGGGTGAGTTGGTGATGGGAAACCCGCGGGGATTACAATTGAGATGGAAAAAAAATGTACAAAATGATGTAAAAATAAACTGTTATAAAAAACAAAACAAACAAACAAACAAAAAAACAGGCTACAGGGCCTTCACCAGCCTGGAGGTCAGGGAAAGTCTCTGCAAGGAAGCAGCTCTTTAAAAACATTTGAACCTTTAAGCCACACTAGAGCTTGAGGTAAAGAGAGAATCGACATCACTGAACCTCTTCATTTAAGATGTCAGCTATTCCACTTACCGTGGAACTTTTTTTTCTTTAAGGGAATAAAAAAAAATATGCATACAGAACTGGGGTACAGGCCAGAGGTACAGGGGCGGCGAGAGGACTCACTAAAGACAGAGTGGGGGAGAAGAACAGACAGACTGATGCAGTATACTGCTGAGGAGAGACCGGGCAAGACAGGAGAGGTCAGCCACGCCATGTGGGTCTCCTCCAGGGCGGGGATAGAACTCACTCTGAAACTGGCTGCAGCCAGCTGCACCTTAACCAGCTGCACCACCAGGGAGGAACCTATCATGGAACTATTTTATACAAATCATGGAACTATTTTATACAAATTTTGTCAAGCCTTCCCTTCCCCCTCACATACGTGCCATAAGCCAGTGCCTCCTTCCTTGTTCCACTCTAATGCTGGCCCTGGTTAAACCTTTTAGCTATAATTACATACCTGAGTTCCTACCCCCCAGGGAAGCAGGGACTTGAAGAGAAGAGTGTCATCCTGTTGCAACAGCTAGGTCACAAGTTGAGGGGTTGCTTTCCTCCTCCACCCCATGGGCCCAGCTAAGGCTTCAACACCCCAACATTCCAGCTTGGCCCAGACTTTTCCCCCTATCTCCCTCCAGCACCTCTCTGCTGTCCCACCCAGCTCAAAGTCCTTCCTTCCATGGATGCCACCACCCTGGCCATTACTCTACTTCGTCCAGCCCTAACATTTACAGATGAAGAAACAGAGAGGAAGTGTCTTGCCCAAGTTGTCCATGTTATACCTCAAGCCCTAGACAGGCTGGGGTGACCCTGTCCATAACTCTCTCCCTTTCACTTTTTACATCAGGCACCAGTTTGCTACCTGGGAGCCCACCAAATTAACTAACAGTGAGTAAATGAACCTCACACTCCCAACTTCTGATATTGATTCCAGGCTGCCTCCTCCAGAAAGTCCTCCAGAATCTTCCTTCAGGCGCCTAGGCTTCTGAAACAGCCATGGAGCTCAGTTCTGCTCCTGCCCTACCTCTAATTGTTTGACTTGTGGGAGGCCATTTCTACCCAACCCCCAATCTGGCCTGGGGTATCCTCAGAGTCTGTACCTCTTCTGTCCACCCTGCTCTCTAGGACCTGGCTGGTCCAGAGGCAAGTAAAGGTCATTAGGAATCTCCAGTCTTTGCCCGCTAGTCCTAATTCAGCTCTGGCCTGAGTCTTCTTGCTAGGGCCAAAGCTTTCATCCTTCTGGCCTCTACCTACCATTTCAACACCCAAGGGCAGAGTTTAAACCTCATGGTCCCTTCTCTGTCCCAGTCCAGCAGTAACCTCATACCATTCCTGCCCACTACTGACTACTTCACCGAGACCTGGTTCACTCCACTGCATTTCCTGTGTGCCCACCATGTGTCCAGCTCCCACCAGGTGTTCACCTTTATCTTGTTCTTCTTCTTAACCTTCCTAGGTTTAAAATTTTTACCCCATTTCCTGAAAGCTGCATGAGGTGGAAACTCACCCAGGTTACTTGTTGGTG